TAGTAGAGGGGATGCTGATAAAGCAAGGCTTGGTTAGGACTGTACTGACTGTCTCCCAATTAGCAGGTAGGATAGAGGGGACTAAGGTACTGTACAATGTACATTAATAGGAGGGGAGATGGGCCCTCTACACCCGTCCAAGGGGGGATCGTCCAGGGATCTGCTGGTCAACGGGTGAGGGCCAAAGCTGCATAGAGTAGGCCCGCAATACACCCAGTTGAGATCGGAGCTACAGGGGTAGAATCCAATCTCGTAGTGGCAAGCTGGTAGGTGTGGAAGGGATACGACTTGCAATAGGATTAGGGCTGTAAAGCCCATAGGGGTCTCCATCTAGGAAAGGTCCAGAGAACCTTGTGTGGTCACTCCGAGCTTCCAGTAGCTGAATTCCGGAGAGTTGTCCTGCGTCAGATACTCTGCCTCTACAACAACCACACCGCTAAAAAAAAAAAAAAAAAAAAAAGGGGTTGAGAAGAGGAGAAGGACACACGCTGAAAGGGGTGGGCTCAGCAGGAGCTGGGGGGACGGGGGGGCGGTGGAGAGGAGCGTCTGTTGACAATAGTCGCGCTCGGGCGAGATAGTAATGCAAAATTTGCAAGCTAGAAGGAGACAGAGAAATGCCCCATAAGGAGTCCGTGTGCCATTCTTTCTCCGTGTTTCGTCAGGGTGGGTTAGACATAACCCACCAGCTTTCGCAGTCTTACTCTACTCTTATGTACTGTGTATGCTTGGTTTTCACTGCGTTGACTCACTGTATGTTTTAAGCTGCCCACACACACACTATCAGACAAACCTTCCATGCGATGTTGTTACGCAATCCAATCATTCTGTTCGGGCCTACCCAGATTGATTTGGTCTTTCTTTCTTTCTTTACTATATGCGCATTCGTAGAACCTCATAGATTTGGAGCCTTGTTCCCATTTCAAAAAAAAAAAAAAAAAAAAAAAAAAAAAAAAAAAAACAAACAAACAAAAACAAAAACAAACAAACTATGTGGCACCCTACTGCATGAATAGTTCCTTAATAGGTCATTAGATATTCACAGACTGATCTCAGCCGGAGCCGGGTAATGGCCCCCGTATCTCAAATGATCTTAAATGTTCTAAAAAAAAAAGGGATTCCGAAAAAAAAAAAAAAAAAAAAAAAGTGGACCCGGCGCGGCGACGCCGCACCCCAGGCGAAAGAAGATGACGACGCACACGTTTTCATTTTAAAGAAGGCGAGAGAACCATAGATGCAGTGACATCTGCAGAGAGCTAATGGAAGTCTAAGGAGCACAGGGAAAACCCCTCTCTCTTCCATCGGTGCGCACACACGGACAATACTTCTTTTCTTCCTTCGAGATGTGGACAAACACTCGAAAGTCTCAATGGAATAAAATGACGTGCATGACAAAAACGCACTGAGCCTAGAGGGGAGTCAGAAAACTGAGGAAGGCCATTGAAGTAGTTGGCCTACAGTCTTCCCCCTAATACAACGCACGGTCATTATCGCCGAATTTGGTCTATCTTTCAGTCTAAATTCAGCTATTATGACCGTACGTTGTATTTGGGGGAAGACTGTAGCTGAGCTGGCAGACCCCTGAAGTTTTTTTTTTTTTTTTTTTTTTTTTTTGGGAACCCCTGAAGTTCAAAGTCTACTGAAAGAAGAGGAGTAAAATACTTCAATTCCGAATCGGCCGGGGCCAGCCACTTGAATGATACAGTAATATCTCAAGGCCACCGCCCTTTTTTTTTCCTTTCTTAAAAAAAAAAACATTGAAAAGACGTGACGAAGGCAGCAAGTGTGAATTGAATCCACCGAATGGACACCTAAAAAAGAAAAATCATTCAACGATATGACGAAGGTGGCAAGATTGTGCCGGTTGGATTGGGATGGGATGGGATTGAGATGCATTCAGTGGCGAGCGGGTTGCAGCAGGATGGGATTGGGACGTCTCTCTCTCTCTCTCTCTCTCTCTCTCTCTCTCTCTCACACACACACACACACACACACACACACACACA